TTCTACATTTAAAATTATGATTCTGAGAAGGGTCTATAGCTTTCCCCAGATTGCCCAGGGCACCATTATCAGAGCTTCTCATAACTCCCATTGTCTCCCCCCTCCCTCCAAGCAGCTCTATAGCTAAGGGCAGGAAAACCTCAAAGTTCTGTTTTCCTTCTATAAAAGTATGTGCTCAGGGTGCAGGGCTGCAGAGCAGAAAAGACAGATTTTGAAATCAGATAGACTGGGTTGTAAAATGGACCCCTCCCCTCCTTGGCTTTATTAACCAGAGCAAGATTTTATTTATTGTAGCCTCAGTGTCTTAATCAGTAAAATGTGGCAAATAGCTACCTATGTCTTGGGGTGGTTGTGTAGATTAAGGTAACATGCCTGGTAGAGCTCTGGCATGTTGTAGGCATTCAAAAATCATAGCTTCCATTGCTATCATTAGTACAGACCGCTACACACTAATCGCCAGGATGTTTCCCCTTCTCACCTCCAGCTCTGTGACTGCACCTGAACTCCCTGTGGTTCAGAACCCCGATAACCTGGGAAAACACAGGAAGCCTGCTTATTGTATTAGTGCACATCTTGAGAATTCTTTTTGGCTCTCCTACAGTAAAGTTTCTTTGCTTTAGTTTTTTTTTTTCTTTCAGTCTTCATAAAGCATCTTAATTTCCTCGCCTGTAATATTTTCTTCTGAATTACCATGCTTTATTAGTTTCCTATGGCTATTCTAACAAATTACCACTAACTGGGTGACTCAAAACAACAGCCATATATTCTTATTGTAGGCGCCGGAAGTCTGAAATCTCCGTGCTCCCTCTAAGGCCCTGGGGAGAACGTGTTCTGGCCTCTTCTGCCTCTGTGGTTGCCGGCAATTCTTGGGGTGCCTTGGTTTATAGGTGCATCACTCCGAACTCTACCTCTGTCCTCACATGACTTTGTTTCCTTCTGTCCTTGTGTCCGAATTTCTTCTTCTTCAAGGACACCAGCCATTGGATTAGAGCCTCCTCACCCCTTCACTTCCCAGTCTAGTATGACTTCATCTTAATTAAATTACATCTACAAAGACTATTTCCAAATAAGACCACATTCATGGGTACTGGGGGTAAGGATTTCAGTATCATTGTCTGTAAAAACCCTGTGTACTTGCATTAGACCAGGCTTCAGAGTGGATATATGTGTCAGGGTGTTTTGTGCGAGTCACTTCTCCTCAAGTTAATGATTTACATTCACTGTGGTTTCAGAAAATGTTTTGAAATGTCTTGTCTAACTGGAGGCAATAAGGTCTGTCTTGGCTTTTTACTTTAATGAAGGAAGGTAAGCAATCTTGTATAGGTAGAAAAAATGTCGGATCCTTGAGTGAGGAACATACTTTAAAAGTATCCTGAGAGTCAAGAGTTAAAAAGACAGCCACTCCAGTGAACAGTTTGTTTACAGAAGTTTATGACTTGGGTGTGAATTGGCCATTCAAGCCGAGAGAGCCCTGGCTTGATCTGAAGCTCGACTGCTGGATTGTGAGAAGCTGGTCTAGGCAGAGCTCTGACACAGCTGCTTGTGCCCTTGTCTTGTTTTAAAGGCCAGAAAAAAAATTTCAGCACGGATGTGGCCAAGTACTTGTTCCGACAGTGTGTCTGTGGGCCACCACTGCTTGTTGCAGAGTCCGGGGTAGGTCGTGACCTGTTGGAGAGTGTTTGTGGGTGCTGGGTGTTTGGAGTTCCAGGTATCGTCATGGTCAAACCTCTTTCCCTGGGTATTACCTGAGGTGGTATTTCAGAAGTGTGAAAACTTTGGTAAAAGAAGATTCAGCTATAGAATATGCACCAAAATTCAGGTTTGTTTTATTTTTACAAGGAATACAAGTCTCCTCTGGCTGAGGCCACTGTTTGACTGCAAGCTTAAATCTGAGGGACTTTACCCCCCTATCCTTCTCTCCCTCTGACCTTTTGCAAGGAGTAAAATGGATATTACCATTTTATATATTATTCTGTTAACTAATTTTGCAATTCCTAGAACATTCGTGCCAGTTAGAGGCGGGTATTTTCTCCTTTTATATCTTCACCAAGACTGTTTGAATCCTGCAAATAGCAATAGAGTTGTTTCTTATGGTGCCCCTGTGTGGGAGCAGCGGGGACACTTGGGGCATGCTGTGCTAACGGGATTGTCCTCCCGGCCCCTGCCCTCTCATTTTCTGCTTTGCACACACCTGCCTTCACCCAGCCTCCATCACTTCCTGGCATGTTTTGGCCTCTGAAGGATTTGTCACCTGAACAACTAAGGATTTGTTACGTGTTCTTGTTTCCTAACCCATTTCCTTATTTTCTTCTTGTCATCAGTGAGGCCTCAGTGAGGCAGGCTGCGTGTTGCATAAGTTTAAAGCAAAACAAAAACTGCACATAGATTTGTGACCAGTTAGACTACTGTAATTTTGTAATTTTGCCCATAATTATGTAGTACTTCTGTTTTTCTGCCACACTGAGTCTTTTTAATCACAGGGTGATAGGATAAATGGGTTTATTCTCACTGTGTGCTTAAATTGTGCCACCCAATTTAGTGATTTCGTTAAGCTGTCCAGAATAACCTGTTTTTCACATGTAGTGCAAAATATAATACTGACTTTTCCGTGATTTCTCTCATATTTTCCCATGGTGCTGTCAGAGAGGAAAAACTTCTGCCATCCTCTCAGGTTTGGGGGTGTACGAATTAAACTTCAAAGACAGGTTAGCAAGAGAAACACAGAGTTCACATAAAAAAAGCTTGAGAAAGAAGTTAGAATGAGGGGCTTATATCCCATCTCCATAGGGGAAACAGTGGTGGAGAAGGGCACTTAGAAAGAGCAAGTGACTTTTAGGAAGGATAAATGGGCCTGAAGAAGAACAGATGGGGGACAGGGTAGTTTTGTGACAATATCTGTGTAGGTGGGGGCTTTTCTCACTGAAAAGAGCCAGTCTTCCCTGGTTGGAAGAAAGAAAACCCCATCCCAAGGAGAGGGATTTAAGACACAGTTCTTTATGGGAGGCTCCACTTTCAGGCAGATAAGGAAGTTCAGGAAAAAAACCTATTCTTAAAAAATCTTCAGCTCAAAACAGTTTTTATGCCAGAGCAGTATATTCTGGATCCCTTCAGTGGTGACATGAACTGCAGATAGCATTCCAGGCAGTAAGAGTCAGTCGACAGCAAGGTAAGTGGTGACTCCTCGGACCCATTTTCTTTTGAGCAGAAGTAACTTGGTAAAGTGGGAAAATTTTGTCGTGTGGTGGGAACGGATATTAGGAGGCCCACATTTCAGTGTCTTCTGTTGCTACTCATTGGCTCTGTGCCTGGGAAGTCCCTTCACTTCTCTAGGTCTCAGTTTTTCTAATTTGAAACATGATGGGGTGGAGTAGAGTATCTTTAAGTCCCTTCCTGCTTCCTTCGCTCTTCATCATGTTTTTTATAGTATAGGATCTTAGGGAATGCTTAGGCACACCAGACTGGATATGGCGGAGGCTGCCTTTCAGGCCTGTTACCCCTGATTAGCAAGAGGCAGGACGTGGGGCTAGCTGTCAGTTCTGTCTCCTGACCAAGGGGGGGGCCTGCCCTGCAGTCACATGACTTCTCTGGCTATTCTGGTGCTCTTCCTGTGCCCGTTTCTGTTTTTACTTCATTTGAAAATGATGTACAGGGATGGAAGAACTGAAGGGCTCACTGGTGCCTGCCGCATACTTTCGGTAAACCGTTCTCTTTGCTTCTTTCCGTAGAACTCTGCATCGCCCCCTCTGAGCCCAGACTTTGAGGGGTGTGCTGAGATAGAGGTTATCTCTAGGCAGACCTGACCCTGGGGATTGTTATTTTATAGCGCTGTTTTTTAAGAGCAATAATGAGCAATGGCTGATAAGGGCTATCTTACTTAGCATTATCACAGCTTTTCATCCTCACAAGGACCCATTATTTCCCAGAGAACAACTGCAGAACCAAATCTGCAGAAGTTTAGTTATTTGCCTGAGGATACAAAGCTGGCTGGTGACCCGGCAGGACTTACGGAGGACCTCTTAGCCTTTTTTCCCCCCTAGTGCATTGAATTGCCTCTCATAAAGTCATTTGAAAAATTATAAAGTATTGCCTAATTTCGGATCATAGGCTGTCCAGCTGTGGGACTGTCTAGTCTGAGATCCTAAAAGCTTAGTTGTCCAAGCTCACGGCTAGTTAACAGCCTGGTCTCGTTTTCGTGACTCCCAGTTCAGTGCTCTCCCCATCACACGTGAGTCATTGACTGTCAGGCTCCAACAGCCCAGATTAATCTTCTAAAAGCACCTTCTTTTTTTTTTCTTAATTTTTCAATTTTGGTATCATTAATCTACAATTACATGAGGAACATTATGTTTACTAGACTTTCCCATCACAAGTCTCCCCCACATACCCCATTAGTCACTGTCCATCAGCGTAGTAAGATGCTATAGAGTCACTACTTGTCTTCTCTGCTATACTGACTTCCCTGTGTCCCGCCCCCCTCCCAACACCTGCTTCATTATCCCTCCCTTCCCACCCATCCTCCCCAGTCCCTTTCCCTTTGGTAACAGTCCATTCTTGGGTTCTGTGAATCTACAAAGCACCTTCTATTTTTAAACATTATTGAAAAAAATACCTTGGAGTAACAAAGTATAGAATTACACATTCACTTCTAGCTGACCTGTATCTCCCCAGTGCTATTGTTATGTATATTTGGGTTGACACCAGGTTCTTTTTATGAGCTCACAGTTGTGCTGGTTTTCTAAATGTCTTTTACTATAGCTCATCACTGATTACCAAACGTAACTAAATTATGGTTTCAGTTCAGCCTCCAATTAAAGATAGATTTGCTTATTTTAACCCACATTACATTATGCCCTTCTGTTACACAAACAACTTAAAAAAATAATAAACCAGCAAATAAGCCTTGAGGCACCGCAGAGGAGGTTGGGAGGGAATGTATCGCTCCTCTTTTTCAATACCTTCCTGGATATTGGCCCTCACCTAACTTGTTCGCATTTGAAAAGGTTGTTACTGAGGAATCCTGGAGGCGGAGCGCATCGCAAGATGAAGAAAGGACAGAGGCTCAGAGGATCACCTGCAGGAGATGGGGCACTGGGAGCAGGTCCCGGCCGCGACCACTGTCTGACTATGGCCAGCTGGCTAGCCGAAGTTTGTCTATTCCTGAAGACTCAATTGCGGTAGATCCCCAGAAAGAGGACATTGCGGATGGTGACCACCAGCCAGTCATGGCCTCCACGGACCCTTCAAACCAGAACCCTGCCGTGGGCTGCCCCAGAGGAGGCCGGAGAAGACGCCCCATCTCTGTGATAGGCGGGGTTAGCCTCTATGGGAACAGCCAACCAGAGGACATAGAGAATCTTCTAACCCAAGTAAGATCTGGTGTGCTCCCGCCAAAGGCAGCAGGGCCCTCCTCCGGCTTCCTGGCCTTTGTTGTCCCGCTGCAAACCAAACAGGACGTCGCTTTCCTTTCTTCTCTATGCCTCCAGGATGGGGTAGCTGCTCCCCACCTTTCTTCCTGACTTTGAAAACATGCATGAATTTAAACTAACCATCTGACACTGGGATGCCGTTTACTAATCTTCTGTTTCCTTGGATCTTAAATAATACGTGAAACTAGTTTACTGTTCCAAATCACCTGAGATTTTAATGACAGGAAAGTAGCAATGCATATTTAGTGAGTTTCCTGAAAGAAGAAATTCTTGAAAGAGAAAGTGTTGTCTATTGTTAAAATGTAAAGATAAGAAAACAAAGAAGCAATCGATTTTTTTAGGAGATAAGGAAATAATTATTTTTACCATTTTTGCTTTACATTCTAGTTCCAGCTTTGCAGCTGCTTTGACAATAGATGAAAATCCTATTATTCCCTTAGTATGGGTTAGTAATTCAACAAATTTTATCAAGTTACCCAAAGAGAACTTGGAGGATACAAAACATTTTACACATTTAAAGTGTCCAGGAGGAGTTAATATTATTTGGTGAGACTAATACCCCAGCCAAGGTCTAAAGGTTCATTTAACAGTATATGAGTAAGTGCCCAATTTCATTTTTTAAACTTGCTAGCTGATATCATAAATCACCCATAAAATTCTCTGAAAAGGGAAATTCTGCATCGGTATCGGATTTTATTACGTTCTCTCTGGAAAGTCCAACACAAATGCCTCGTCTGTAGGGAGCACTCAAAAACCTTTTGTTGAATTGAATTCTTAAGGTGAAAAATTAAGTTGAAGAGTATTGCAAACTTCTGTTGTTCAGATCCTCTGTGTGCTGGGAAATAGTTCTCAGCTAAAACAAACTCATCTGTTCTAACTTGAAACACAGTATAGGGAAAACTAAAGACTTAGTCGTTACTTCCCTTTAGAGCATCAACAAGTGTAGCGTAGTAAGCTAATTCTCTGTATTATAAGCCCGCTGAGGGAATCGGGAGGAAAATACTGAGGAAATCTGAGGGAAGCATGACCCACCTGGCCTCCGTCGGCCTTGGGCTTCGCCGCCGCCTTTGCTTCTGCGGGCTGCTGCTGGGAACACATCTTCTTAACCTCCTGACCCTGCATCTGTGTGAGAAAACCGCCACTTCCTAAACTGCTTTTCCTCTTCTTAGACCTTTGCCTTTTCCTGAGTGTTACCTATCGGCATGTTACTGACAAGTAAGATGAAATGTGCTGCTCTGAGGTAAAGGCCATTGGGTTCATACGGATTTTTAAAGTAGAATAACTAATTGCAGTTGAGCCTCAGTGCAGCCTGAAGCTTTTGACATGATTTGGAGAAACCATTTCACATTTCTGAGTGGCCTCGAGGAGTAAATGCCAACCAGGTTCTCTCAGTTATGGTGTGAATTGCTCGCAGGGGCTGCCACTTCCTGGCAACTTCTCACAGCCTTTTGCTTTCCTTTTGTAGCCGGCAGCCAGGCCTCCTGTGCCAGCTCACCAGGTGCCGCCCTACAGAGCGGTCTCGGCCCGGTTCCGGCCGTTCACATTCTCCCGGAGCACCCCCATTGGGCTGGACCGTGTGGGGCGCCGGCGGCAGATGAGAGCGTCCAATGGTGAGTGGACAGGCCCGGCCTGCTGGGGGTCTCCCCTTTCTGAAACTGGCATGGAATCCGTGGTCTGTGCGGTTACACTTGGGGCCGGCAGCCTGCACGCCTCTCCGCCTGTCCCTGGAGCAGGGCCTGGTGGTTGGAAGGCCTGTCGCAGGAGCTGCTCCTGCAGGCGTTGGATGGTTGTCAGCTGTTTGGGGTGGGTGCCCTGTGCCTTCACAGTGACTCTGGTTTGAGCAGTTTGTGTCTCTTGCCTATCTGTGTACCTGAGGGTCTGCAAGTGCAGATCCCACTCAGAAGGGGTCCCACAGATCTGCCTTAACCTTTTCAAAGCTCTTTTCTGAGTGCTTGAATTGCAGCAATACTGTTGTGACTACCAAAGAAAAGCTTTTATTAGTTAGTATGCTATCATAGCACTTACCCAGTAAATACCTGTTGGTTTGCATTAATACCCCATGTTTGGGGGATGATTTTTAAGTTCCTCAAAATCTTCCCCTACACGTGTGGTCATGTCAGTGCCAGTCAGTGGGCTGGACAATGGCAGGCCAGCGTGGGCTGGGCGAGAACAGTAAGAGCTGATACCGAGCACTTACCACGACTCAGCTGTTGTCCTGGTGCTAAGGGAGATTCACTCATTTCATCTTACATGCCGTGGTGAGTACTATTATTAGCTTCATTTTAAAGATAAGAAAACCCAGGTAAATAGGTAAACTGCCCTAAGTCACCCAGGGAGGGGCAGAAATGGGATTTGAATCTTCAAACAGAATTTTCAATACGAAGGCCCACCTTTAACCATTGAACTATACTGACTTTTTAAAGAAACAGCAGATGAGTAACGATGACCGCTTGAAGAGCTGGGTTTACCATCTTTTAAAAGTGGATGTCATGTGGGGAGCAGAGAGTGGTGAGCTGGGCTTGGGAGGCCCCAGCCCAGTTCCAGCACCGCCCCTCCCTGGCCATGGGGTCACGGTCTCCTGGTGATGGCGGGGGCTGAGATTTACATAGTGTCTTTCATTCAGGGGACTTGGAGGTGGTGGGGGATGTCATTTGGAGAGAATTAAATCTCAGGGGGAGCAGAGCAGCCAAGGAGGGCTGGGGAGGAGGAGGAGGCCAGGAGGTGTGCCTGCGGGCCACCGGAGGTGCTCAGAGGCAGGCTGAAGAGGGTGATGGCTGGGGATCAGAGGTGGCAAGGTCACTAATGGATTCTGTCACAGAGATTGTGCTGGAGAGCATCCTGAGGGGGGCCAGACGTGGCAGTGAGAGGCCAGAGAGCTGCAGTAGTGAGGGGGTGTTGCCACCCCCACTCCTGTCACTTACGTCAGGAGGGGTCAAGCTTGACTTTCATCAGAGAGGAGGGCAAGGGAGAGGGAAATCAGGTGGCAGCCTGAGGTAGGGGGCGTTGGCAGCCCTTCATGCCTGTCATCATCTCGGAGGCGCAGACAGGACACCCTGGAGTCACTGTCCCCCTCACCCGCGGAGTCTCCTCTGCAGGGCCGCCCTGCTGCTCAGGCTCCTTCACCCTGTACCCGTCACCCTCACAGCTGCCCGTCCCTTCCTCTGGCCAGGCTTCCAGGCACTGGTCAGAGTCACCGCTCATGTTCAACTCTTTGTTACTTTCCCTGAAAACTTCATCATAATTACTGAAATAAGTTCCAGTTCCTTAACAAGTTTACAGGTTTTCTGCAAGCCCAGGCTAACCTCCATCTGTGTCTCTCTCTTCTCTTGCCAGGGCTTGCACTCTGTCCCTCTGTCCCTCTGTCCCTCCAGCCTCTGTCCCTCCAGCCCTCCGACCCTCTGTCCCTCCAGCCCTCTGTCTCTCCATCCCTCCATCCCTCTGTCCCTCCATCCCAATCCCTCCAGCATTCCGTCCCTCCATCCCTCCGTCCCTCCAGCCCCCCAGCCTTCCAGCGCTCTGTCCCTCTGTCCCTCCAGCCCTCCGTCCCTCCGTCCCTCCAGCCCCCCAGCCCTCCAGCGCTTTGTCCCTCTGTCCCTCCAGCCCTCCATCCCTCCGTCCCTCCAGTCCCCCAGCCCTCCAGCCCTCTGTCCCTCTGTCCCTCCAGCCCTCCAGCACTCTATCCCTCTGTCCCTCCAGCCCTCCGTCCCTCCGTCCCTCCAGCCCTCTGTCCCTCCAGCCCTCTGACCCTTTGTCTCTCCAGCCCTCCAGCCCTCCGTCCCTCTGTCCCTCCAGCCCCCCAGCCCTCTGTCCCTCTGTCCCTCCAGCCCTCTGTCCCTCTGTCCCTCCAGCCCTCTGTCCCTCCAGCCCTCTGACCCTCTGTCCCTCCAGCCCTCTGTCCCTCTGTCCCTCCAGCCCTCTGTCCCTCTGTCTCTCCAGCCCTCCGTCCCTCCGTCCCTCCAGCCCTCCATCCCAATCCCCATGCTCTACTCCCTTTGGCCCCATGCCTAGAATTGCCTTCCTTCCCTTTACCCTGTGTCAGCATTCTTTCCATCAGAATTCAAAACTCCTTCCCTCTGTACCCTTGGTGACAAAGTACCTTCACAGTCACCCTTCTGCAGAGCAGCTGGGCCCGGCTCTCACGTTCATTCTCTCCAGTCCAGTCCTTGCCTGCTGGGGATGTATTTTGAGAAAGTTACCCAAAGGAGAGCAAAGCTACACTCACAGGATGTCCTTTACAGCATTACCTGTGATGGCACAGTGGCTGAAGCAGTGTGAGTGTCCAGTTACAGTGCAGTAGTGAGTTGGAGTGTCATATGGGCCACTACTTCAAAAAAGTAAATATAATAACGAAAACCATGTAACAAACATGAGAAATGGCTGCTGTAATTCTAAAGTGAGAAAAAAATAAAAAGGAAATAAAATCATATGTATATTGGATTAATTTGCCAAGGCGGCTGTAACAAAGTATCACAAACTGGGTGGCTGAAACAACAGACATTTATTATCTCGGTTCAGGGGGTTGAAAGTCAGATCAAGTGTTGGCAGGGTCGGTTCCTTTTGAGGGCTGTGCAGGCCTGTGCAGGCCCTGCTGGCCTCTCTCCACCTTTACGTGGCATCTCTGTGTCATGAGGAATTAGGGCCCACAATAATGATCTCATCTTAACTTGGTCATGTATTAAGACCTTTATTCCAAATAAGATCTTATTTGCTGGTACTTGGGGGTAGGATTTCCGCACCTTTTTGGGGGACACACAGTTCAACTCATAACATATACCATCATTGTAGCCATATGCAACATGTGCACATGTGGTCAAAGATTTAACAAGGTGCAAAAATAAAAATAGCTTGGACAGGGTGGTAGGAATGTAGATGATTTCTTTTCTAACCAGTATTTTGAAGCAACAAAAACTAACTCAGACTAGCTTAAGCGAAAAGAGAAGTGATTGAAGGGACCGAGTATTCCCAGAGTTGGTGCACTGACTGGGGAGCCAGTCTGGGACATGGACGGTGGTCAGGGGTGTTTCTGGGGCCAAGGGACCACATGGGAGGAGCCACAGAGAGCTTGTCCCAGGACAGCACAGAGCCTCCACCCGTGGGAGGCTCCCCTCCTTCAGCCACTCGCTTGGGAATCAAAGCTCTCAGGTAAGGGATTTGGCTCTTGAAGCTTAGGTGACACTGGAACAGGAATGAGGACTCGGTTTCCCCTGAGACCCCTTGCCTTCCATATTAGCAGGTAGCAAATGGGCCGAACACAGTGGAAGGGAAGTCATTCCATCAAAGGAAATCCAAGTGGAGTCAGAAATAGAAATAGATTCTGGACAGTTCCTCCATCTGTTCATTCATTCATGTACTCAGACCGCTGAGTGCCGGCCATGTGCCAGGTGACAGCAGCGAACCAAACGCAGCCCCTTAAACCACGTACGTTCCAGTGAGGGGATAATAAATCAGTGAGTGTCTCCAGAGCACAGCAGGTAGTACTGTGGAGAAAAATTAAGCAGAGTAGGAAGTACACGTTTTTAAAGGAGCATCATTCTAACATGATGCACCTATTCCATGTGTAATTAAAAACCCTCTCGCTCCTTCTCCAGAGGGAGGCAAGCAAGAGGCTCATCAGTCACTGGCAGCATCTTCCAGCCTAGGGCCTCTGAGTGACGTGCTTCCTTCTCCGGCTCCACTGCAGTGCCTTTTCAGTTCTGATACCCAGAGGGGGATTTAAGCAACACACCCTTATCATAGTGGAAGGAGGTGGGGGAGAGAAAGAAATAAAAATAAGTACTATGTGTGCCTATGTGACACCACAGAAGAATGCTGCTTTTCTCTGCCACTGGTCACAAGCCCGTATGTGCTGTTTTTGTCTCGGCTCATCTAGTTGCCATGCATGCACCCCTCGCCCCCAAACAGCATCTTGCCTGGTAGTGACTTTACTAGCTGAGCTGGTCCAAACCTTGACTCTGCAGGTTTCTGAGCTGTGAGCTGTGAGTGGTCCTGCCTGCTTAGAGATGCCCTAATGTCCTTGATTCCCCTTGCTTAGTTACTCAAAAACCAATCTACAAAAATGTGTGGAGCATCAATTATGAGGCAGGTACTATTTTTATCATCTGGAATACAGCAGAGAAGAAAGCATCACAGAAAGCTTACATTCTGCCACTTACACAGATTCAGTGAGTCAACAGGTAGGATTGTCTCAGGCAGTGCAGTAATGATTCTCTGGAGAAGATTCACGGGGGTAATATGGAGAGTGAGTAGGAACAGCATAGCAGGGGTGACCTGCTCTCCCTACGGAGGTGACGCTGGAGTCGAGACTTGACAGATGAGCAGGAGGTGAAGATCAGAGGGAGGTGAGGTCCTGTCCCAGGGGAAGGAATGTCAGGTGCCCAGCACTGGGCAGAAACTTGCTGTGTCTGGGTGCAGTGGAGCCAGAGGACTGGCGCCCAGGGGCAAGGGCGGAGAGAGGGCGCTGCAGCCCAGGGTGCGGGCTGTGGCTAGACAGGAAGGGCATGGCCACCTCAGCAAGGAGTCTGGGTTGTTTTACCCTTAGCAAACGGGGGAAGGAGCTGCCAGCTGGGAAATGACGTGCTCTGACTTATGCCTTAGAGAAGCAGGACAGTTT